GTGGAGTCGTGTGCGAGGGCTCCCACGGTCTCACGATCCACGCCGTTCCCGTGCGTTAGCAACGTACGGGGGGCAGTGCGTGTCGGAGAGTAGCGTGCTACGGCCGCAAATATTACAACCCCGAGAATTTCAAACGGCACCGCACTAAATTCTTCGCGAATACGCGAAACTGCAATAATAAACATTTACACTATGAGACCTGCTTTACCAGTGACAAAATATAGTAATAGGTTTTTTACCCTTTCAACTGGTACAAAACTGACACCTTTATACAAGGGATCATGTTTTCAATAACCACAACACAAGCAGTCAAAATGCAAACAAAAAGAAACAACTCTGATAATGATAATGATATGCACTGTCCTTGAAGTTGATCCCTTGTATAAAGGTGATCTCTTGTATAAAGGTATAAACATGATCCCTTGTATAAAGTTGTCAGTTTTGTACCAGTTGAAAGGGTAAAAAAAACCTATTACTGCAATAATAAAACCCGCTAATATTAAGGGTTTAATGTACTCATTTCAATAAAGTGGGGACATTTACTATTTTAGAAAGGGTGATGTTAACGCTACTTAACGTAAGTTGTTATTTCACAGTTTTGATTTACGTATTCGCCCTAAACAAAGATAATAAGCACGGCGTTAAGTCACGGTGAGACATATTGAGGACCTCTGTCTCAACACTCTGTGTGTGGATACCCCTCCGGGTGCTGTCACAACATGTCGGGTAGTGGTGGCGGCGGAGCCGAGCGGTACTCCGTTCGCCGCTTGCCGCAGCCGCACTGATCAAGAGCCGAATGGCTCACAGGGTAAATCCTAATAAATTAAACTGAAAAAAAAATTCACCGTCAGAATACACACCAACTGCTTCACAGTGGACTAGAAAGATCCGGTCACGTCATTGGCAAGAATAGGCTGTTGCGTGTCGCAGGGACGTGCGGGTCAGGAGAGGCAGGGGAGGCAGAACCTCACCTGTCATACTCCAATGAAAATAGTTGTTACGAAAAAAAAATTAAATCAAATAAATATTACGATTTTTCCACTGATATGTGTTATAAATGTAATTTCTGTACGATTCAAATCATTTTTAAATCCTTTATATTAAGTTCGCTTGCTTGCTTAGGACCGTGCAAATCGTTAGGTCGTTTTTTAACCAACTTCCCGTGATCCAATCGAGCTGACATTTTGCACACAGACTCGTTGTGCGTGACAATGCATTTTCGTGAAAAATTTTATCCAAAAATTTACACTGTTTAAGGAATTTTTTAAAAATATTTAATTACCAATTGTTTAATGCTGCCAGAGGACGAGAGGACTCTAGCCGCCACAATGCCACGCATATAAAGGATTTATAATGAAAAACTTTGTTTTTACGGGTTTATTAAATCCTTTATATTAAGTTCACTTGCTTGCTTGCGCGCTTACGACCGTGCAAATCTTTCGGTCGGTTTTTTACCCACTTCCCGTGATCCAATCGAGCTGACATTTTGCACACAGACTCGTTATGCGTGACAATTAATTTTCGTGAAAATTATTTTCCAAAATTTTACACTTTTTAGGAAAAAAAATATATGTAATTACCAATTGCTTAATGGTGGCAGGCAATCATCTGACCCATAGGTGGCAGCCATCTCAAGCCAGAGGACGAGAGGACTCTAGCCGCCACACATATAAAGGATTTATAGTGAAAAACTTTGTTTTTACGGGTTAATTTTTTTCCGAGTTAACTCCCCCCCATCCCCAGCTCTCTCGGCCTCCCATTTCCAGCCCCGCCCACTTCTCCCCCCCCCAGCCTCACGTCCCTCTCCTAGCATCCACGCAGCTCTCCCCTACCCCCCTCTCTCCCCCCTTTCTTACCTATATAACCTCTTACCGCGGCAGCTGTCTCTTCCACTTCAGCAAAAAATTATATTGCTGTGGTTTTCCCACCTATTGATGATTGCTTGTGTTGCAATCGAAACGTTGTGATTTATTTTATTTTATACCTACGTAACTTTACCGAAAGAACCTAAGAGTAACTAGCACATGAATTTATAATTAAGCTGTATATGCATCATTATAAATCAGCAGCAGCAATAGCCATGATCTATCCACTGCTAGACGAAGGCATCCCCACGTCATCGCCATTTCTCGTGGTCTAATGATGCATCCAACTTCTGCACTTGAGATGACTCCTCTGTCACCAGACTGGTCCATCGGCCATCATCCCTTCCAGAAATGGGTCCACACGTAAGTCCATTTAGTCTTTTGGACAGTCAAAATTAAATCTCTAACTTCTCATTGGTTATCTGATTCATTGTGTTCCCTTTTCTATCTTTCAGTGTTATTCCTTGCATACACCTGTGCAGTTGAATGAAGGTACTGAAATATCTTCATCATCATCATCAGCCATGGGCCAAGGTCTCCCTAATCGCCCTTAGTGATTGTTCGGTGATGTGTGCACTCATACCGTCTGCAATAATAACAATTAATATTTTTTTGCTATCTACATGGCTTTACCGAAAGACCCAAATAATATTAATTAATCATATGTTGCGTACTAAATTATATAATGATTATATACACCATTATATAACCATTCTATAACCAGCCAGGTGGCTCAACGGTCAAGTGAGCAGCTCGCAATGAGAAGGTAACGAGTTCAAATATTGCCCATCATTACTATGGAGTCGATAAAATAAGTACCATTTTGGGAGGAGGTCATGCAGTGGTTGTTTTGTGAATAAACTCGCTCCTGCCATGGGATCGGGGAATTTCCACCGCTGGCTCAGTCAGGACTGTAAACAGGAGATCAGCACCGTCCATTTGAGAAGAAAAATCACTTTAACCTCTTTTTAATTATTAAGATCAATGATAATTTAGAAACTAATATACACAAAAAAATCCTCATAATTTGGGGTTTATTGACCTAGCTCAAACTGATGTTTAATTATAGTTATTTAATAATGAACAATATTTCATGGACACCCAGCAATTCACTGCCATGTTTGTTGCATACCGTTTTCTCCTTGTGGTGACAGTCGTATTCTATGCCTCTTCCCACAGCACTCTCCTTGCTGGATTTCCTTTCTTAGGCTACTCCTGCCTCCTTTCATTCGCAATAACGCAATCCATTACTGGCTGAAGGCCTCCTCCAGCTGTTGCAATAGGAGCTACGTATCTACGTTGCACTCTCTGAACTTCATTCGATCGCCTCTACTGCACTTACATGATATTCGCGTATCTACCATTTGCAGAGATATTGTGAAATATTTTCTGATAACACAAGTATAATATTTAGGTGATTTTTTTCTGCTAACACCAGTTATATCATATTTGGTCCAAATGAGATTTTAGAATTCCCCTAGTCGGCAAGGGTGTCGCAACGAGTCAGGCAGTGCTCAGGAAAATTACCACAAAGCTAATTCATTTTTTATGCAGACAGACGCACACATTTGTCTGATTACTTATTTACTGGCTCCGCCACGGCGCACAATGAACTTGTAGACACTGTTACTTGTATGCTGACGGGACTCAAAGCTAACATTGAAGGCTCCTGCCTATATCACCGGCCAAAATAATAGCATTTATTTAATGGGCCTGACTCTGCTGATGAGAACCAGAAGGTAGAAACTAGTCCAGACTTTGCCTGCTTCAACGTTGTTATGAAAGAGTAGTGTGCAAGTCTGATGGGACTGACAGTTTTATTTATGCGGGAAGACGTATTTGTGGTTATCTTTTTATGTATTTGTAAATTCATATTACGCTAAGCGCTGTGAACAGACACATTAAAATGGAAACTATATTTCCATAGTCAGGTACGTTTTTGTGCATGTCGGTATCCATGCTGCCACAATCAAGTCAATACGCTTGGGAACTCGGTTACATCACGGGTGACTGCATCGATACAAATTCAAGATGCTCGTGATGCTGGCTCATCTCTCGTAAAGTCAGTCATTCTGGCTTTGACCTGACCATTATGAGGTCTTCTGAACCAAAATAAATTTAATCCAGCCATTATCAATCTTACACGTACTCCTGCAGAAAGTGACAATTATTTATGTTGCTCAAGTAAAATTTGTATGACTTTTAAGGCTCCACAACAACGCACGCAGCAAGTTTCGAGATCAATGGCCATTGGTCTGTCTGTCACCGCATTGACACATTCTGTCCCCGTAAACTATTTATAACTCTCATTACACATGTGGAGGTCTCTTTTTGGACCTCAATGGCACATTCGTCTCTGTCACATTCATTATTCCTGCTGACCTTGGAAGGCACTCTGCCAGACGGCATCTTTGCAGCACTGCAGAATTTATAACTTTTATTAGTCTGTGTACAGCATATAACGGATACTGCAGAGCGAACGGGAATTAAGACAAACGTCCACAACAAAGTCACCTGTAGGCAGCGATGCTCACCAGCACCTCGTTCCCCCCATTCTGGCATCGGTGTCACCATCGTGTGTGCCAGGCGGTGAAACTGCAGTCACTCGCTCCCCAGCAGTAGGTCACCTCCCTGTCACTATTCAATGGCTACTACCTATTACTCCTATTCCCATAAACGTCACTCATTGATTCCTTCACCCATGTTGAGGACCTGGACTACCAGACTGGCTGTCTCATCCATACAGAGTTCAACCACCACACAGCAGGTCAGAGTTCAACCACCACATAGCAGGTCAGAACACTTCACTTTCTGCTTTATTCCTCGTATTGCCCAACTTTGGAATTCCCTTCCATCTACTCGTTTCCCAAGTTCTGGGTAAACAGGTGTAATGAGAGCGCCATCGCCTGGATTATCAGGGGGGCATATATATTAATTCTACAGTCCATTCTTATCCATAGTGGGGTTTACATCTAGGGGAAAGGTGAGAGGCGGTTCCACCAGGGAAGCCTCTGGAACGTTTGGGAAGGTTCCAGGAGGGGTGTGGCCAAAGGCAGGGCTTAGTCCCGGCTAGGGGGATATAAGCAGGACACAGAGCAACGCAAAGGGCTCGTGCTGAAGACTGAAGAGGAGCCCCGCCGCTGCTGCCCCGCCATCTCCATCCACCATGTGGCGGCTCGTCCTCCAGGTGCCAGCCGCTCCCTAGGGCACCATCAGCCAGCGGTGTGTTGTATACTAACCCTTCTTCCATAATTGAGATTAATAATATTTGATGATTTTTATATATTATCTTTTTACTTGTTTTTTTAATGAGTGAAACACACCAAGCGCAGCAAACTGCAAAACACCAGGTGTTGTTAAGTAATGAACCGGAGGAGGGCTAGGATGGCAGAATTTACAACGTTGCTTCAAGGGAAGATAAGGCCTGATGAACGGGCACATGTCACCCGTGCAGGCGGCAGAGACAGTGGGAGTGTCAGCCAGACATAGTTAAGGCAAAAGCCCAATCATCCTGCATGGTTTTAAAGTAACGTCAAAATTCGAAATTCAACAACAGAGTAGGCTAAATTATCGATCCTCGCGCTCGCTCAAATTGGAGACCAGGCTGCGAGCTACATCAATGAACCATTGCCCATTTGCTAATCCAATACTGAATGTTAATATTACTGAAGTCAAAACGAATTCTATGACCTCAGCACATGGGCAAATAATAGGGCAGTGTCGACTCAAAGGCAATGGAAGAAAACAGAGGCGCCTTTGTCTAAATCACAACCACAGAAAGCCAGGAATCATCACTGATTGTGTGTTCAGGAATTCCGAGCTAGTTAGAACACGTGCACAGGGGGGGAGCTGATGTAAACAACCCTGCGCGTCTGGATGTGAGGGGGCCTTGGACCTGGAATCAAGAATAAACACTCCCAGAGCAGAAGGTTGGCAGGGGGAGAGGTGATTTAAAAGAGGGTTGTATATCTCTCAAGGCACAAGACCCAGCTGAACAACACGGCTGCGGGGGTCACCAGAAGTTCGCATTCGCCTAAGTTAAGACAAAAAGCTCAATTATTCTGTATTGCTATTAAAGTAACGTTAAAGTCGGAATTTAACAACAGAGTAGGCTAAAGTTATTGATATTCACACCCACTCCAATTAAACCAGGTCACAAGTTACGCCTACTGAACCATCACCATTATTAAGTCAATATGAAATGTTATTTCCATACTTCAATACTTTCTATACAATTCGACCCGAAGCATATGACAATCAGAACCTTCCTAAGTCAAAATTGAATCGCACCCAGACAGGAGCGAATAGTCAATATAAGGTTGAAGAGGGAAGGAAATCAAGAGCACGGCGAACTGCAAACGTAAGCAAAAAGCCGGGAACAACACCAGCCCAGCAACAGCGAGTGGGGCTTCGACAGGCCATAAAGTAGAATAATAACTCCCGGGGTCAGGGGACACAAGAAGAAGCAGGCAGACAAAAACCAGAACTGACTCCAAGGTTCAACCGCCCTCACCTACTCAGGGGTGACGGAAATTAATGAGGCCTTGAATTAACGGCAGGCAACAACAACGGCGAGCAGAGATAGGGTGGGGCAAAGACTGCGGACCATGGAATGCAACTTCGTGTCAGTAAAGCCCTGACAAACAAGTTAAGTTAAAGACATCACAATACATAATATCGCACATAACATCAATGTTAACGCTATTCACCATAAACTATATTCCGCTTATATAACCATCCAGGCACCAAGGAATACGAATTCCTAGGATCAAGAAACTTACCCCTTAACCTAAGATATCGGAAACAAATTAATAGTAATAAGTATATGCATGAAAAGACAAAGTAAAACTTATGGAAAAGCCAGGATAACGGGATGAATCACCACCAGGTCGAATATAAATACATAATAAAAAAAAAAAACAATGTTAAACCCAGGGTCGGAGAGAAAGGGAGATCCCGGCCGTCTTTGTATCCCCGCAGCGCGGGATAGGAGTGTGTGTACGCTCGGGGAAACACCTACACTTGGGTCGGGAACCACGATGGGAAACGACAGACCTTAGGTTACATACAGAATCATAACTGTGAAATAGTAAGGGACAAATGTTAACTTAAAACTTTTAACCATTTCTTTGTGCGCCGGGTCGGAGAGAGTGTTGCCCCCCCTCCAGGTTGTGCAACACGAACAAAGACGCCTATGAGACGATTTGTAACGTCTGTGTTTTGGGTTCATGAAGAAGGCCAGACAAGAGATAAATTGCACCCAGACAGAGAGACGACTTCGAGACAATTTGTAACATCTGGTTGTTTGCTCGTGGGTTTTATGGAGGGAGTTGACAACGGAATATACCGTCAGTGATGCACACAAGGACATACGGACACACACATGGACACACCTGCCTACGGACAGATCCTGACACAGCAAAAATCGGAAGCCCCGCCTTGTGGGCGGGATCCAGGGGGATTTTTCAGCATAAAGGAACGGATCCTGAACATTGGAAACCAGTGCGACGGGAGGGTCCACTCAGAAGCTCGACCGGGAGGGTCGACTCAGCAGGAGTGCGACGGGAGGGTCCACTCAGAAGCTCGACCGGGAGGGTCGACTCAGGAACGAGTGCGACCAGAGCGGGTCCACTCAGGAGTGCGACCAGAGAGTCGACTCAGGAGCGAGGGCGACCAGCGGGTCGACCCAGGAGCGAGCTCGACCGGGAGGGTCGACTCAGGGGCGAGCTGCGACCAGCGGGTCGGCTCGACTCATCTTCAGCTCGTCAATCTCTGCTGCCGCCGGAGATCTCCGCTGCCGCCGGTGGTGAGCGTCGCGACTTGGCGACGATCCAGCGCTGCACGCTACGAGCGAGTTGTGGGCGCCACCTACCGACCGGGTTCCGAACTGCGACAGCGTATCAACAGCCATCCGACAGGGGAGCGATGGATACGTATGACGCGCACCGCCCCCTCACCACACGACCACCAGGCGTCTGTTTGACCTAAAGAATCGACTCCGAACACTGACTATTCAAGACAACTCTTACCACTCAAACACACTCGAACCCATAAGTCATCCGTGGCTGGGAAGGCATCACAACGAGACCGAGTGGTGGCCTCCGTCGTATAAGAGTATTCTTAATTTTTATCTTTAATATTTAGTGGGCTGTACTCTTAATCGCATAAATTCCCAACAGATCCATCAATACGAACTGATTCTTGGCACCTCCTTCCGCCGAGCCACGCTCACGTGGGGAGTGGTGGCCACCGGATCCTTATCAGGTGATCTGGTCCCCAATTAGTAAACTTGGTATAAGATAACGATCTTCGGAAAAGGAGCACCGTCGCAGGCCCTTACTCCGAGCCGTTCTGCTGTCAGATAACCTGCCGATGTATCTGTTGAGATTGGTGCCTTTAAGAATAGTAACTGTTTTGATTGTGTTTTTTTTTTTCCGCCGTATAATCTTTCAAGTATCTTTCAGTCATAATCGCCGCACGTACTCGCATCCTCTACAGAATATTCAACTGTCCCGTGACCCAAGGTGTTAACAACGTGATAAGGGTTGCGTATGATCAATAAGGAGTGCGGTACTGCGTGAACAATATTGAGTATAATCATTCATTAACGTTAAGGTTTTCTTAGCATAGTATTTGCATGTTTTAACGACTCTCTCTCTCACTAACAACCATCGCGTTATGCGGGATCCATGTGCAGTTGTCAAAGTGAAATCAGACAATCGTTGATGATACTGTATTGATGCCGTATTGACGTTCCGGGATTGAGAGTTCGCATACTATATCATAGTTAAGGTTGAATTAGTAATAAATTGATCAATACAGAAGTGGTTGTGTGATTCTTTCCTGAAATCTATGCATAAGATCTGCTTCTGCGTTGAGATTTGAACTTGGTGACCTTAATAAACACACTAATACATACTCAGTAAATGTTAAAGCGATAACGGGGTGAACCGGGGTCTGGTTATCATAACGACTTGCGTTATCATAATTACACCCACTCGCATAATTAATACGATTACCTCTCGAATTGGCATAATTAAAATGTGCGTAATTACATAAATTAACATATTTCCGGATAATTACATATTTGGCCAAATTTCATTTAATTATTATTATTTCCACTGAATATTCATAACCCACATATACAACATAATAATTTCACCCACGCACGCATACAACATAACAAATTTTCATACCCAACATATACAACATAATGGGGGCTCGTCTTCCGGGATCTCTCGCAGACAGTTTATGCATGAATTCAGGAACGAATCACTGATGTGTTAATCAAAGTGTTGTGAACTAACGTTGCCTTGTGATTGTAAACGGGGGTATACAAACAAAACGCGCTCTGAAGGGAAATACCAGAGTAGCAGAGTATAAAAAGACAGCTGGGCTGAGATTATTTGCTCGAGTTAAACTGACGCATCCTGTGATACAATTGTTTATATGTGCTCTGAAAGGGAATTCTAGAGTAACTCACGACGCACATGAGATGTTAGAATTAAGATACACTCTTAAGTCTATTAACCACACTACATAATAGAGAGGGCACAGGATCCACAACATTCTGAGTTTGACACACCAACGCATAACACTGATACAGAGTGGACCTCTGAGGAGGAGATGGAATCTATGGAAAAACAATATCGGGAATTTGTATTAAAACGTACTGGACGGACTGCTAGCCAGCAGACGGAGCAGAGAGATATATGGGAGGGGAGCCATACAGAAGATGTTAAGGCCCATAGAAGGAAACTACTTAAGGACGTGATGAAATGTGGCAAAGCCAAACGTGACGTAAAAATTGCAGAAATAGCGAGGGTAGACTCGTATCTCATCGCACAGACAGACAGAGAAAGATTATGGAATGAGGAAAAATTTGAAAGGGAGAGACAAGAGAAACTGTCCTTAATGGTGCAGGTAGAGCGTCTGCACGCCCTCGTGAGAGAGAAAGAATCCGCACTAAATGCACCAGTGAAACACCCAGACGTTGATACACAGAACACATACGGGAGTAACAATTTACCACACTCCGAGCCACGGGGACGTAGCCCAGGGCCAGATCCCACAATGAGTGTGGCTACTATGCAAAGCAATTTTGATAAAGTAACACCCTCGCAAATCGAGGAGAGAGAAGAGGAAATAATAATACAAACGGGAAAACATGAGGCCGACCACCCCAACGTTAGAGAGAGACAAATAATTAACCCTAAGTCATC